GGGGGGGGGGGGGGGGGGGGGGGGGGGGGGGGGGGGGGGGGGGGGCAGAATACCGGCGCCCGGGTGAACGGGGGTGTTAGGGAGGGTGTGCGTGCGATTAATGTCTGTAATGCTGACTCGGTTGGAGAGGGGTTACTGATTCACTTCGGGGGGGTGATCACGCCTGTAAAATAGGGGCTCATTTGCAGGGGTTGACAGACCCCCGTTCAACGCCCGGAGTCCTTAATAATATAGTGAGCAGCCTACCTGGGGACGAAGACAATCGACATGCCCAAACCCCACACACAGCCTTACCTCCTTCAGCTCGGACGCCGATTTGGCACCCTTGGCCTGCTTGCCCGTCTCCTGAAGGGCCTTCCCGAACCCCTTCGCTCGCACCTGCCCGCCGCAAAACACAACAGATACAATCACCGCAGTCCACACCGAAAACCACACAGCGCCGACAGGTCGAGGTGAGCGGCGCCGCGAGAGAACGGAGGGGTCTCAGAGCGGGACGTGACGTGGGGAGAGCGTATGTGCAACGTCCGGCGCATTCAGCCGAGATTCTCGCTTAGCACCAAGAGGTATTTATTCATCCGCACATGTCCGGCCTGTTTCTTTTTTCTCGGCACGTACCGTAGAACAATTGTTGTTGGACTTTCTCCGGGTAATTTTAGTTGATGCACACAACTCTTCGTAACTGTACCGTATTTGGGGTGCAGGTTGTGGCCACAGAAACTGTGTCCTTCCTTTTGGGAAGTAGGGAAGGGGGAGAATCTGGAACGAGGCGAGACCGATTCTTAACGCCAAGGCAACAACACTAGACACAATACACAAACATCTCGCTAGCCTACAAGATGTTCATTGACCAGCACCGCCGATGTTTACCAAAAATCAAAAGCACAACATTCACATACATTTCGCTTGTGTACATAAATCATTGGTCATCAGCCTGTCAGCACGATCGATGCGTACCAAAAAAAACAACACACACACAACACCTACAACGCAAACGTAATCTGTGTTACTCAAATTCACCTTCTGCTCGCATTCTTTGGCCATCCTCTGCACGTCGAGGATGTCCTTGCTCACAGCCATCCCCTTCCGCGGGGGAGGCTCGAGCCTCAGGATGTACCTCAGGTCGGCCAGGGCCTCGCGGAAACGCTCCGCCTGCCAGTGCATACAAACACCGCGCGAGCGCAACAAGCATATGTAGTCACATGCATTGGTCATGTGACCCCAAGTATTTGTTTCATCCATCACTCCCGCTGACCACAAAGAAGGCATTGAAAGAAGGCCTGTGAGGAATTAATTTGGTTGGCTTGCATTGAAGGACCGCTTACGGGGTGGTTCCCCTGCACACGGGGGTGTTTTGCGCTCGTTCCTTGCCGAGTCATCACCGGGGTGGTAGTAAGATGGGCTCCATGATCACACGCGTCCTAACCTCACGTGGTGTGATATCTTCCGTAAATAAAATTGGTTTATATGAGGAGAATACAACGCGATATATGCACTTGTATAGCTGCAAGGTGACGAACATTTCCCGTAGCTATCTCAAAAATCGCTCAGGCACACCTTGAGTTATCACCACAGGTCGCATGCGTCTCTATTTGTTTACTTTGCCAGCATCATTCAAATCCACCCGATTGGTTCTGCAGGACTCCCCCCGTCGCCTCTTCGCACCGTCATCCGCCGAGTTCGCGGTTGGTGCATACCGGAACACCCAGCCGCGCCGAAAACAACGCGAAGGAAAGAAAGGCCGGGGACAAGGTACATGTGCAAGTGGAGGTGTTTGTGTACATGTTGCTGTTGAGAGAGCAAAGAAACATTCCCCGTCTCCCAGGCCACACACGGCCTTTCTTTCCTTCGCGGGCTGTACGGCGCGGCTGGGCGTTCCGGTATGCACCAACCGCAGGCGGGATGACGGTGCGCAAAGCCGACGAGGGGAGTCCTGCAGAGCCAAGCGGGTAGTTAGGTTATGGCGCAGATACGCCCGAACGCAATACTGGTCTGGTCTGAACCAGCACCACAGATTCAAGAATGCAGTAGGGTGACAAATCACGGCGACTCGCGCCGCCGAACATGGTATCAAGGTCGAACCTGCTTGTGTGCGGCCGCCCGGCGGAAGTACGCCTTGATGTGGTGCGGGTCTAAGTCCAGCGCCCGCTGAGCGTCCGCCTTGGCGCTGCCGAGGTTTCCCCACCTGCCGAGAGCGAGAAAAAGTAACGGTTGTCACCACGAGTCCCGCACGCCACGTGTCGCAAACGAGACGATCCTTTGTCACCCGTCGACGATGTTCAATAGAGAATGAATTGATGCCTTGGCGGGGGATGCCGAGAGGGGGCGCAATCGCCCCCACTTCAACCGCAAAGGGAGGAAGGACAAAAAAATACGTTGATCGTTTGCGCCTATCCAGCCAGGGCAAAACTAGTAAATGATTAGGGAGGGGCAACAGAGCCATCCACGGCATGTTAGCACTGTTGTTTCTCTCGCTTGCGGGATGCAGAACCGATCGTCGTTACAGAACCACACCACTCAAGGTAGATACTTGTTGGCAGAGGCAGAGTGCGACCGGCGCCCCAGACAACCCACACATTCCAAACACGGCTGCTTGCATAAATACGCTGTGGGGATGTTGTAACGCGATCCTTGCCGGGCATTCCACATTCCAAAACCGGCCAACTACTGCACGCGTATGCCAACAGCATCCCAAGCTATTATGCACTCCTTGCCTTTCAACAAATTCAAGTGCCCCCCCCCCCTTCCCCTCATCTCACTTGAGGTGCGCGAACGACCGGTTGCAGAGGAGGATCAGCAGCATCTCCCTCGCGGCAACCTTGTTTTTGTCCTCGCCCGTCTCTCCTTCCTCCTCCTCCTCCCCCTCCTCTTGTTCCGATTCGTCGCCGTCGCTCTGCGACCCGCCGCTGCCCTGGTCTGCCCAAGGTGCCGGCTTGACGTGCACCTCGAGCACCTACTTAGGTGGAGGGGGGTGACGCAGGGGAGGGGGGCACGGAACCAAAGAGAAGCAAACAGGCGGCAAGCGGAGGGAACAGATACGTCCAAGGAGGTCGACGCCACACCAAGGGACAGGAACGTCAGTAACAGCAGTGGGGCGCATGCTTTCGTTAATTCTTTGTGTTTGGCATAAAGCAACAACACCTCCTCCTTCAGGGAGGAAAGGGGGCTAGATAAGGACTCAAACAACCCGACTTGGAACACTGCTGTAGATAACCGAATACTCCACCTATGCAAAGAGATGTGCACAGATTTTCCTCGTGCCCAGGACAATAAAAGTTGTCCCGCTTCTCGACACCCAGCTTCGTAACCGCCAACCTCATAAAAAATCGGCAGACCCCCCCCCCCCCCCCCCCCCCCCCCCCCCCCCCCCCCCCCCCCCCCCCCCCCCCCCCCCCCCCCCCCCCCCCCCCCCCCCCCCCCCCCCCCCCCCC